CTGATCGGAAAGATTGTAGTTCTACATTTGTTCTCGAAATATCCAAACAACATCCATGCTTGACAGCACAATGTTCCTTTTTAGGCCCAATTCCCTGGTTCATCTGTTATAATGAAAAAGAGTAATGGAAAAGAAAACATTTTATTTAATGTCATTCTATACAAATATCAAACTTATTACAGGAATCTCTACACATAGGCCTAAAATTACAAGCTGCATAATCACTAAATCATGAAACTGCATGAAGCTTACAGGTTGTAAGTACTGATAGTAAAGAAACAGTACAGATCTATATTAAAAAAAAAAAAAGTAAATTGATATGTAAACCAACCCTCGCAGTAATTATTTTTGCACCAAAATCTTTTAGAACTGTCTTTTAACAGAATTGCAAAGCAATTGTCAATGCTTTAACACTATATACAAAAATTCTACATAAAGTGGAAATCAGTATCCTTACAAACCTTACAACCTATTTTTAAAACTACAATAAACATTGTATTAACCAATCTTTTTACTAGATTGTCTAAATACAGTAAAAAAATGCATTGCATTACAATAGGATTCCTTGAGAGAAAATACAGTATATTTATAATTATACAAATTATCCTCTTGTCAAGATAAATTCAACTGCCTTTATCATAACTTAATGCAAACTTAGCATTTGTATATCTTACAGTCAGGCTCCCAAGACAAGATGTGGCACTATACTTTACTCTCATGGAAGCCACCAAGGTATCCACTGTTAAGCAATATCAACATCTGTAATAAAAAACATTAATGTTTATGTACATATTTCTGATTGTATGCATAACTATTACTGTGTATCTCAGCATCAAGAACTTACTAAGCACAATTCAATATTGATCAATGACTAAAGATCATGGGATTATTAACCATTCCATTTTTTTCTTTGTTTGATAATTTGAACTGCCATATTGTCAAGAGAATGAAGACAATATCCATAATCCCTAGACCCAGGAAAACAAAAAAATATGCATTGCTTTTGGTTTTGTACCACGCAACTCTGGAATGCTGAGTATATCAATTATACCATTTCATTGGTAAATTATCTACATGTATATCAACCATGCAATAATACCTTGCAAGTTTTCCCAACTTTTATTCAATGGAAATCCAGTTATCAGCATGTACTGTCAGAGTATACATTACAAAATTACCAATATTGAAATTTAAATTTAAAAAATAAAAATAAAAATGGGCAAAACCAGGCAAGGTACTTGTCTTTACCTGTAACTACAAATAGAGTACATCTATGACTAGAGTATATATTGAAAGAGTATTCTTATGACTAGCTATTGCTCACTGGGTCAACAGCAAATGTCTGAGCTTTTCATCATTTTACTATTGATGGAAACAGTTAACAAATACTGGCATTACTCTGCTACAACAGCAGGTCATACCAATTCTTATAATAACAGGGACAATATGCCCAATACACTGGGTTCAACATTATTTGTCATCTTTGCACCTACAAGGTATAATTTTTTTCTGTTATTACCTACCCATATGTATAGCACTCCTTAATAAATGGTAATACATATAATATATTGAAAGTCAGTTATCATCAGTTTATACTGTACAATTTTTTTCATCAAATTATACAAAAGTAAGCTTATCAAACTGACATTAGTGCAATTCACTGTAGATACGAAATAGTATCAGTACACATGTATATATTCCACAATTTTCACTTGATTTTAAATAAATTACCAATCAAAATATCTACTTTCATTTCATTAGGTTTGTAGTACGGAAGCTCTCTTTAAAATCAGAACCACCTTTTGATAAGCTTTGCAAGGAAATGTAATAGTTTATTATATACAATAATTGGACCCTTGCAAACTTATTGAACTAAAATCTAAACATGTTTAATGTATAAACAATTAAATATTTTTTTCTATAATGAAGTTTTTAAAAATCATTTAGGAATAAAATTATATGATTCTATTTTTCCTAGGAGGAGATTCCATACCATAATGACCAGTTTATTAGAGTTTTCTCTCTTTATTTCAAAAGAAAAAAATCAAACATTCTCCCTTCAGGAGTGATCAACACTGCATAGATGGCACAATGGGAACATTAACTATATCATTCATTTATATATTTAGACCCATAAAAGGCAACAAAATTAAGTAATTATACTCTATTACAATCTGTCAGCTCTTATACTTATATGTTTTGTTGTGTGATAGCTGTATGTAGAAACTGTATTTTATAAAGAATAATTTTTATCATACTTTACTGCTGGACTTTCAGAGTAAAAAATATATATATGCACATAGATTAAAATATGAATATACATTTTCTTCTCATGTTTCCCTATATTCATCAAAGTCCATTCATTAACATTTCTACTATACTGAAAAATAAAGACGTTACCAAATACTTTTCCTTCTCTCTGAAGATAGATAAATTCATTCCAAATGTTTCCTCACTGTAATGTCCATCCATTTCATGGCAAATATAAATTAAAGAATCTTTAGAACTCAAGAATATCAAAGGATATAATCCCTTAAAAATAGGTTTCAATGACCTGTATACACTGATTCCTATGCTGCTCTGTGGTGAACCCTCCTCATCAGGAAAATCATTACTATGGTCACTAAGGGTCATTCTGAAGGATACAATAACATTCCTCCAAAGTAAGCTTAGGTTAGTGGTGGTTAGTAATAGCTGAATAACTGAAGCAAAACTTGAAGTGAACTTCACCTATAGTTTCAGATGACTGGGAGACATGATTTCAAAAATGGCTAGATGACTGCCTAAATAAACAAATCTCTAAGATACATATACCATTCATAAGAAAAAACTTGTTCATATATATTTATCACTATTTTCCATTGGATCCAATCTTTATCACATATTACTAAAATAACAAAAATAACTAAATAATGATAAAAAAACAAAAATATATAAAAAAATAGGATTTCACTGACTGAATTTGAAATTACTCATTTCTAAATGACTATGAAACTGCAAGTGATTCAAAAAAAGAAAACATTACCCATTTTGAAGTAATGGAAAATAATCTGCAATTTTATTTTCTTTGCACATGCTACCACTGATGTGTTGATGATGCCTTAGCATTCCTCCTGTGCAATAAAAGGAGTAACTACTACTTCATGTTTTCCCCAAGTGCAGTGTCTGTATTCCTAAATGATACTTTGCAAAATGATATTACATACAAGTGAAAATATAATTTCAAGGATGACCTCATCTTCCCCAGTGGCCCATTATGAATTGAATTTGTACATCACAGAAAAGAAAGTGGATGACCATGTGTTGCCTAATGAAAAGGCTGAAGATGTTAGGTTACAGTTATAAGGAGAAAAAACAGAGGTCTTTGTTAGCTTCCAACATAACATAAATGTCTTATTCTAATGCACATAAAACTGCTGAGAAATCGTGTGGGGTTTAGGTGGTTCAACATGCAAAACAATTAGACATGTAGTGTTTCCAGTATTGCATGGTGTTCCAGAACACTTTGAGGAGTAGTAGTCAGCATAATTAACAAAAAAGCATGGTTCTACCTAAGCAAATATCTTGTCAGTAATATGAGGTGCAGTGAAAATCCATTGTATGGAAAAACCCTGAATCACCCCAGAAATGAGAGTAAGGTTTGTTGTAAGGAAGGTATACAGTGAGCCTATTTGCTTTGAGACACAGTGAATGTCATATATACCAGTATATAATCACATAGTTCATTGCACTTCTTACAAAGAAATGTCCTTATGAGTGGCACCATGTTACACATCAAAGGAAACTATGATCTTCCTGCTGATTTTTTGATAGTAGACTTGTTTCTAAAAACTCTATACGAGTGTCAGATCTTCATTTCATTACTTTTGTATGGGGCACCCGGAAGGAATGGTCATTCAGACAAACCCATACACACTGAAGAATGGAAGGCAAACGTGAAATTGAAATTGTAATATATCCTTTAGCAACCAGACACAAAGTCCTGCTAACATGGTAAAATGTGCTTTGAAATACTTTGTACTTCAAAAATATGCTTTGAATCTATTTTACCATTTTTGTTTGACACAGTAAATAACTACTGTATGTCATGCATAAGCACATCCTATATATGTGTAACAAATATATCATGTAATCTGGGTAACATTTCTTTTGAACCACCCTGTATAATAGATGTTTCACATAATTTCAGATAAAAACTTAAAGCAATAGTAATAAAGAACCAAATACACTAAATAGGGTTCATCAACTTAACACTATTTATTAATTCTTTCACTGGGAAGAAAACTGGGCAGACTTACATCAGTTTTAAATGAGTAAAATATATTACAATTTGAATACAAAACTCCTGTATTTCTTGTTATTTGTACCAAAAAGGTATATACTTTAACAGTAGTACTTAGAAAATCATTCACAACATTTACATTAAAAAAAAGTACAAAAAATAAGGAATTTACATTTTATAAGTTCCAGTTCATAGTCATGATTACAAAAGATGTACATGAAAAGTTAAAAAGTGGTTATGAAAATGGCCTGAAATACATAAATGTGAACTACACTGTATGACACCTATGCCATTATTTGAAATCTTAGAATAAAAAGTCATTCAATTGATATTGGTAAGATTATGCTTACAAAAATGTTGCTCCATCCCATGTTTAAAAGATTTAATTTAGGCTTAAATAGTTAACCTGTAACCTGTAATTACCACCAGGATTGAACTCTATAAATAATTGCGCATGTAATTATTAACTTACATTCCTTCATAAAAATCATTAGATTACATTCATGTCTTCATACCGTTGCCACTTATCAGTAAGTAAAACAATCTGATAATGCAGAAGATAGTAAGTTATTCTACTTGAAATTGGTTTGTATAGTATATCAGTCAGCTATAAAAATATCTCTGATTATGCTATCTGGACTTTCAATTTTGCCAAAAGATCAGTATCATGTTCTTCTGATGGATTCCAAAGAATTCTGAATAATCTTTCCCAGCTATT